TTAGACTTTATTTATGCTTATTTTGAAGTATGATTGATGATTAAATTTATTATTTACTGCATCAATCATATGATTTGTGAATTGTATGCACCGGTATGGGATGGTGGCATATTAAGAACGGATTAGTTTAAAATACTAAGTTCTACCTATTTTGAAATAAGAAATGGATTAACTATAAAAATTAAGTTTTACTTAAATTGATGACTAAATTTATCATTTATTGCATCAATTATTTGATTTGTGAATTGTATGCATCGGTATGGGACGGTGGCTAACTAGAGATGGATTAGTTCAAAATACTAAGTTCTACCTATTCTGAAATAAGAAATGGGTTAACTATAAAAGTTAAGTCCTACTTATAAATATATCAGGTCAATAAACAGTTGAATGACATACCTTGTCTTAGATGGATTTTATATATACGATTATGGTGTTGTGATATGAGCTTTAGTCTCAGGATCATGGTTAGGATGTGTATATCACCTAGGATGGATAACCGGATATAGTTGCTATTCCCTGGTAGGTCTAGGTATACATGCCCACGTTATGTGCGATTTGTATGTAATCTCTACTCAGGCTACAACAGACCTATAGGCTAGTGAGCGTCCTATAGTGTGTGTGTGTATATATATATATATATATATATATATATGGACTATTTAGCTATTGTTAGGGTTATCTAGGATGTATATGTGTATCGAGTCTCTACTTAGACTGTAGTAGAGTAGAACTTATTTGTGAGCCTGACCCACCTTTATTTTTCAAGTATTCGTCAGGAGTAGGGATTACTCGTGCTAAGCAGGGATCGTCTACTTTATTCTTCCGGATTATTTACTTAGAAGTTTTCTTTATGTTTCAATTTTCTGATATAGACAGTTATGTCTGTCATTTGTTTAGTTCTGATTTTCCAAGGGTCCACAGAGTATAGATTCCCGAGTTGTACAAGTTAGAGGATTATTTGTATCAGAAGAAATTATTTATAAGAATTTATTCTGAGGTTTTCGTTAATGAATTATCATTTTAGTTTCTTTCCGCAATTTTATTTATTCCTATTTATTATATTTGTATTCTGTGTTCGATTATTGCCATTTGTTTTTTATATACTCGGGTATTCGGGCATGGGCCTGACCAACCCGCATTCGAAAATCCGGGGGTATCACAGTGTCCGGTACACAAGACGTGAAAAGACGCAAATGCCCTTGCAATAACAAATTCCGAAAAATGGAGAAAAATGAAAACATCACACATTAATTAGTGCAATTTTTTCTTTTTCTCTCTTTGAATTTTTATTGTGAATATTAATTCATGTATTTACATAAATGTACATGAAATGCCAATGATGGGTTGCAATAATGACAACCATTACAATGAATTTGTATTTTTGTTCGGCAAGAATTAATTATATATTTTTCTCATCCCTTCCCACTTATTTCTTATCATTGTTTCAAATCCCATGCTCTGTCGTTGAAAGGATTGAAAAAATTCAAAGGGTCTTTCTATGGGGTAGAAGGGGAGTGGAGTTCAAGTATCATCTTGTTAACTGGGAGAAAGTTTACAAACCCATGAAGTTAGGCGGTTTAGGTATCCAAAAGTTGGTTCCTTTTAATAGAGCTTTATTAGGAAAGTGGTTATGGAGATTCGGTAGGGAACAACATCGCCAGTGGAGAAGGGTCGTCTCGTGTCGTTTTGGGGAGGAGAGTGGTGACTGGTCCTCTTGTCCAGTCTCTGTTGCAGGAGGCGTCAGCCTGTGAAAATTCATTCGGAATGGTTGGTATATCTTTTCCTCACACATCAGATTCAAGGTTTGTGAGAGGATTTATGGTGTAGAGATTAGTTGTTGTCTTATTCCTTTCCTAGACTTTATAATTGCCGAAAATAAGCACGCTTGCATAGCTGACTGTTATAAGCTTGACAGCGGTAGGTTACGTGGGACTTGCATTTTAGGCCTTTTTTTCAGGATTGGGAGATGAAAGAGGCATGTGGTTTTTTGGATTTGTTGTATCAGCAAAAGGATGTTGACAAAGGTAGTGATGATATTTTGTGGGTCCCTTCCACCCATTGTAGATTTAGTGTTCGGTGCATGTTCTTGTGTCTGTCCAATTTCGTTTGTCATGATTTCCCATGGAAAACTATGTGGCGTTCTAAGGCTCCACTTAGAGTCGCATTCTTTGTTTGGACTGCTGCCTGGGGCAAGATTTTGACGTTGGATAATTTGAGAAAGAGAGGTAACATTATTGTTAATTGGTGATGTCTATGTAAAACAGACGGTGAGTCTGTGGATCACATTCTTATGCACTGTCCTGTGGCGTACGATTGTTGAAACCTCATCTTCGGCATTTTTGGCATTCATTGGGTAATGCCTCAGACCTCCATAGGACTGATTAATGCATGGAGAATATGCCCAATGAAAAGTCACGCTCGTGATTATTGGAGGATTGTACATTCCACACTGTGTTTGGTGGTGCATATGGAGAGAAAAGAATAGCAGAAATTTCGAAGGGAAGGAATCGTCTTTGGCAACCTTGAAAATTCATATTTTTCGTTCTATTTTCTATTATGTGAAAGGAAGCGTTTGCACCTCGAATGATAACTTAGTTGATCTTTTGGACTCTATTGGTCCTTAGGTTCAATTTTTACTTTTTGTATAAAGGACGCGTTCCCCTTTTGAGAGCTTTTCTAATCGACTTTTACTTATAAAAAAATTAAATAAAAAAATAAAAAAGATTTAAGCTTTTGATTTCAAAAGTAAGCCAAAATAATAATTCTTGTGTTGCAAACATTATATTTTCTTTATTAGTATTATTATTATTATGGTAAATCAATGTGTATTAAAAGAAGGATCCGCATAAGGAAGAGGCCCAAAGCCCAAAAAGAGAAAGGCCCAACCCAATTCACTTTAGTCTGAAAAGTTCCGTTGATCTCGGAATTAGATATGCGGATAGTACCAATTTCCAAGTTACATGTTATGTGAACTCAAATTTTTAAGTCTAAATCCCAATGGCAATATAATGAAAAGCCCAATAATGATATACAGTAATATATACACACACAATATCTTGTCATATCAATCTAGTATATGTCTTGAAAAAATAATTATAAATAAAAAAAGTCTGAAGCCTTCCGTCAGCATCCACAAGTTTTATCGATTTTTCTTTATGGTGGAAAAATGGATATATTAAATATGTAAATTTCACTCTCTCTCATTTACACTTTCTATTTTTTTTTTCTTTTCTTTTCTTAAATGGGTAGTGATACTAACACAGAATGATTGGATCGATTTTTTTACCAAAGTATGTTATCCGGTTGGCAAAATAATGTTATTTGGTTAATTCTGATGAGCCTACATTAAAATCAATTTTACAATCCGGTCCTGGTGGTAAATTAGTAATCCTCCTCCACAAATATGTCATCATCACTAACGAAAATATACAATGCTCAATCTTGACATAATTAAAATGAAAATTTATGTAGCACGACTTCGTGAAAAAAAAAAAGTGGAGCAAAACTATCAAAAATGGCTAATTATGTTAATAACAGTTAGAGAGTTGTTTTTTTAATCACAATTTAATTAATGACGCACTACAATGTTGTGTTTTTTAACAAGTGTGGAGTCACCGGACTCTTTCTCAATCAGGCGGGTTACTCCGGCTCACTGAACTCCCAATCTGAACTTTTCATACCTACATGTTGAGTATAGGCTAAAATTTAACAAATATGACTCAATTCAAGTCATAAAGAATAGCACGCAAGAGCCAATCTGCTCCAAAAAGTATAGAGTAGAGAGCTCAAGGTGCGCAATTATAGAATGGGGCAACAACTCTTGTTTGAGATGTTTACTTTTACAACATTTTTGGTTATATGGAATTATAATTTTGGAATTGAAATTTGTATAGAATTGGAGGAAAGCAAATTTTCAATAATTTTTTCATCAGGTCAATTGCGCTCTCTATCTCATTTGATATATTGAAGATTTAATTGAATAATCAGAAAAAATTCTCGAGTAATTTGAGATAGTTTCCTATTATTGAAAACTTGTTATTATTAGATTAATAGTGAAAACAAATCCTCCTTATTTTTTATTTTCTATTTCTTTTCATTTTCATAATTTCTTCTCCTATAAAGGAGGCTCCACCATTGTATTGCGTATAAGTTGAGAGATTATAATAAAAGTGATGTAACCCTTTGGACTCTTTATGCCGTAAATGTAAGCTCTAAGTAATATATATGTATTCTACTCGTTTAATTTCTCCTTTCACTTATGTTTTATGTTTTACAATATGATATCAGAGTCAAAAGTTTCAAATTCAAACCTCACCGTCACTCTAATTAAAAAAAAAAAAAAATTAAATACACATGCTGGATCAAAAAAATGTCACACATGAATTCAACTATTAGGACTTACATTCACAACACACAAAACCAAAGGATTACATCACTTTTATTATGAACTCTCCTAATTGTGTTTACAAATGATAAGGATAAAAATAATAGGCAACTCAAAGTCAAAAGAGAAATAAGATAAGGGTAAAGGATTTATCTTACCCAAAATTTCTATGGAATCATAAAAAATATGTGGTTACCATATGTAACCAAAGTTACCATTCCTGTAAGAAGGGAACGATATCATCTTGGATCAGGGAGAATCTCGCTTCAACAACTACTACCATTAATACTTCTATAAAAGAAAGGATCAGTCAACCTAAAAAGGTAGGCCATAAATTTCATATTGAATCTTTATCGGATATTTAATCGTCGAGTACTAACTTGACCGTCGGAGTGCACCCGGCCGGCACCACACCGGTCATCACTTCTCTTGTCTTGCAGGAATTGTCACAGACTCCGGAGCGTATAGATTTTTGGCATCAACAGTTGGCGCCGTCTGTGGGAACGTATATTAGTCCCAACAAATTATGGTTCGTTCAAGGAAAATCTACGACAAAACTTAAAAGCAATTCAGTCCCTTTACAATCTGGCTTTCTCTAAAAGAAAGAGAACAGTTCATGGATTGTATGGCCAAAAGTAAGGGTACAGTTGCTCAATCCGGTAAAATTGCTAGAAAGTCCTGCCCGACCGCCAGCAGTTGTTTCATCATCGCTCTTAACCAGGTAAGTTTCATGCATTACGCGTATATCAAAATATATGTGTACACTTCCTCACATGATTTAAAGAGAAACAATTTTTTATGTGTTTCCAACTGTCTGCAAAATATTGTTCACCTATATAATGATGTAGTTCACTTGGGGACCCTCCGATAAAATACTACGCTTTGAGGGTATTGTTCACAAAAAAAAAAAAAAAAAAAAAAAAAAAAAAAAAAAAAAAAAAAAAAAATGTTTTGTGAGTACTATTCATATGAATAGTACCCGTGGGAATAGTACCTGCGGGTACTGTTCACAGGGTGTAGAAAAAAAAAATTTATTTTGTGAGTACTATTCTATTCACATGAATAGTACCCGCGGGTACTGTTCATAGGGTTTAAAAAAAAAAAGTTTCTTATTTTAGAGAACAATCACTAACTCCATTGATGATTTTGGTCCTACGATGCTCAATGATAAGTTTTTGCATTAATTGTACCAATTCTGATATATATAAATATGTATATATATTATCCGTTCAAACTGTACATCTCTCCTTTTATTTTTGCTTTGCTAACTTTGCAAATAGAAAGAGAACATTAGTGTTCCTTGTGCGTGAGAGGCAAGCTTGGGAATGGGGGCAGAAAGTTAACCTCTCTTATTAAAGATACGAGCTCACGAAACTCTTACTCACGAGGATGAACCTCCCATATTAAAAGGATAAGTTCATGAAGCTCGTAATTGCCATTCCCCGTATTATAAGGGATTGATAGAAAAGCGCCCCGTACTATAAGGGCCTGAGCTGAATGAAGCTCGTAATTGTTGTTCTCCGTATTAAAAGGGGTTGAAATCAACTTGTAAAATATACTTCCCTTTTTAAAGGGCGAGCTGAGTGAAGCTCGTAAAATATATTTTCCTTTTTAAATGGCGAGTTGAATGAAGCTCGTAATTACTATCCCCGTATTATAAGGGATTGATATAAAAGCGCCCCGTACTATAAGGGCCCGAGCTAAATGAAGCTCGTAATTGTTGTCCTCCGTATTAAAAGGGGTTGAAATCAACTTGTAAAATATACTTCCCTTTTTAAAGGGCGAGCTGAGTGAAGTTCGTAAAATATATTTTCCTTTTTAAATGGCGAGTTGAATGAAGCTCATAATTACTATCCCCGTATTATAAAGGATTGATATAAAAGTGCCCCGTACTATAAGGGCCCGAGCTAAATGAAGCTCGTAATTGTTGTCCTGTCCCCCGTATTAAAAGGGGTTGAAATAAACTTGTAAAATATACTTCCCTTTTTAAAGGGCGAGTTGAGTGAAGCTCGTAAAATATATTTTCCTTTTTAAGGGGCGAGCTGAGTAAAGCTCGTAAATATACTTCCTTTTTTTTTTTAAAAAGGTAAGCTCATTCAGCTTAAGATAGCCTACTCCCTCAGCTCATGAAGTTTGGGCAAATCTTAAGAGATCAACCAAAAAAAGGTCGCCCAACAAGGGTTAACCTAAAAAGAGATTGATTTATGCCAAAGAGACGTCACTAAAAAAAAAACACGTTTGACATTCTCGATACTTGACAAGCAAGCACGAGAATGGGGGGCAACTGATAAGGATAAAAATAATAGGCAACTCAAAGTCAAAAGAGAAATAAGATAAAGGTAAGGGATTTATCTTACCCAAAATCTCTATGGAATTATAAAAAATATCTGGTTACCATATGTAACCAAAGTTACCATTCCTGTAAGAAGGGAACGATATCATCTTGGATCAGGGAGAATCTCGCTTCAACAACCACTACCATTAATACTTCTATAAAAGAAAGGATCAGTCAACCTAAAAAGGTAGGCCATAAATTTCATATTGAATCTTTATTGGATATTTAATCGTCGAGTACTAACTTGACCGTCGGAGTGCACCCAGCCGACACCACGCCAGTCATCACTTCTCTTGTCTTGCAGAAATTGTCACAGACTCCGGATCGTGTAGATTTTTGGCATCAACAACAAAACCCCACCTTTTTTTTATAGATGCTTGAGAAAAAATTTGTAAACAAAGAATTACAAAAATTAGCCGGTGTGAAAACTTGTTTTTCAAGTACAACAACTTTAACATGATACAATATTACTACTAATAAAAATTTATTCAAATTACAAACGTGTTGGTGAGAAAAGTTGTCATTTGAGAACACCAATGACCTTTAGGGTCAGTTTAGTGTAATGGAAAAGGGAGGAAAGAGAAGGGAAGGTGATAGAGAGGGATTAAAAATTTGTATTTGGCAAAAATTGTTGGAAGGGAAGGGAAGGGAAGGGTTTGGAGGGTTAGCACAAGCCTTCAACAATAAATTTCTTAGCCTTCCAAAAATGGGAGGAAATGAAGGGAAAGGAAGGAGAGGGTTGGTGTGTGATTTCAGATGCCAATTTTGCCCTTGATTACATGTGAATTTAGTTTGCAAAACAAGAATTACAGACCTTGATTAGTTGATTTAGCAGTTTCAGAGAGAGAGAGGGGCAAGCTTGAGAGTTGAGAGAAAGAGGGCCAGCGGCTAAAGCTTGCGAACGGCGAACCCGAATTGGAACACCGGGCGATGGAAACTGATATGGGATTTGATTTTTTGAACAATCTGATATGGGTTTTGATTTTTTGAACAATCTGAAATGATGCCGATATGGGTTTTGAAGTTTTGATTCTTGCAGACAAATATATAAACTGAAATATATGGGTTTTGAACTTCTGATTCTTGTAGTAGTTTGCAGTTGCACACAGAGAGAGAGAGAGAGAGAGAGAGAAGTTTGGCGTTGAGAACGAGAATAGAGAGACGGAGTTGAGAATGAGAATAGAGGCTGAATTTTTTTTTTCTTTTCTTATGGGTCTAGAGACGGTATATATATATATATACATATACATATATATAAGGGTATAATGATCAATTTATTAAAATAATTCCCTTTTTTTTCTTTCATTTTCTTTTTCCAAACGTAATTATTGTTCTTCCCTTTCTTTCACTTCATTAATCAACCAAATACGATACCAAATTAAAATTATCCTTCCATTTCCTTTTCTTCATAACTAAAGTTATCATTCCCCTTCAAACCCACTTCTCAGTATTACCTGCTTCATTTGAGTTTGATTATGTTTCTAGACACCGAGAAAATCACCAAGCATTCTTACACGGCTCTCATTGTCTTCAGAATGTTTATGCTGAATAATTTCAAATTGACAAAGTCGGACAGCTGGACTACAACAAAGTCATAGTGATAAAGATGGTGAAGGAAATTTCGCAAAGAGACAATTATGGAAAAAATTCACAAAAGACAAAAATTTAGATTTTTTTTTCCTAGTTGATTTAGATTTAATTAGGTGAGAAATATACCATGATGAATTTAAAAAAATTATACTCCGTATTTATGAATTTTAAATAACTAGTTATCTAAAATACAAGCCAATGGGGATTGAAGTTTAGCCATAAGTGTGGTAAAAGATTTCTCCTGTACCTCTAATCTTACATTAGAATCAGAACTGAACTTAGCCAACCGTTTATGTAAATTCTAGTACTATTGAACTTAGTGCACGATAATAACATGACGGATTGGAGAAGTACATGTTATTTATCTAAGATTATAACACTAGTGAACTCAGTGCACGATAATAACATGACGGGTTGGAGAAGTGCGGGTTATTTTAAATAAAAGAAATGATACAATTAATTCTATAAAATGGAGTGTAACTAGTATATTTTTTGAAACAATTATAAAGTTTGGAATACATAAATTGGAGAACTCTGCTAATCTATTTTTCTAATAAAACAAAAGAAAAACAAGTAAAATATGAGTTCAAAAACTTTTTTGGGGGTCTAATGTCATTTTTTGAAACCCATTATTTCACAACTTAAAATAATTATTTTTTTTGGTAAAAGTATAAAATTTTGGTTTCTTGAATTTGTTATCCTTGGAAATCTAAAAAATCATTAAAAACAAACAAAAAGAAGAAATCAATAATATAATAGAATAATTTTATATACATACATATACTTATGAGAAATTAATAAGCTTATGTGGAATTGTAATGGGGTGGAATTTTGATTTTACTCCCAAAATCCACGTTTACATCAATTTAATTAGTGTACACCAGAAGGTCCAGAACCATCCCAACAATATCTTTTGTGTGTGGTGATGATATTTTGGCAGAAAGTAGCAAAGTGGAAATTAAGAGGAATATGTCCCTCTTTGAAAAGTATCAATTATGCAGGGGAGACTTGACGATGTGGAAAAAAATTGTAATTTTAAGTCCTTATCCTTAATTAAGAGGGGAGACTTGAGGATGCAAACTTCTGTTGAATATAAAGAATTGCCCCTTTTTTTACTTCAATTACTATCTCTCCACTTGACTTGACTCAACAAGATTACGTGGGATATAAATTTCATTTTGTTATTATTCTTCTATATAAACACCACCTCTTGATTATCATATATACTTATATAAGTGCCAACGAAAGAGAATTTTATATATCATATAATTGAGAATGGGTGGTTCTTCACCAATATTATTGTTGCACTACTTGCTCTTCTTCCTACTCATCATCATTACATCTCATTACTTCATGCTTGTTCACTCTTTCCCTTCTCTGCACCAACAAAACCCACTCTGCCACCACGATGACAGCTCTGCTTTGATTCAATTCAATCAAACCCTTTTCTATTATAAAGTCTGATTTTATATCTGCGGATCCTTCAGCTTATCCGAAAGTTGCATCGTGGAATATCAGTAGTAGTGATTGCTGCTCATGGGACGGTGTCACTTGTGATGATGACACCGGCCGTGTCATTGGCCTTGACCTCAGTAGTAGTTTTCTCTCTGGTTTTATCAACACCAGCAGTTGGCCTTGACCTCAGTAGTAGTTTTCTCTCTGGTTTTATCAACACCAGCAGTACCCTCTTCCACCTTGCTCACCATCAGACACTCAAGCTTGCTGACAATTACTTCAATGAATCTCAAATCCCATTTGCAGTTGGACTTCTTTCTAGGTTAATTTATCTCAATCTCTCATACACCGAATTTGCTGGTCAAATGCCATTGGAATTTTCAAATTTAACCAAATTAAATTCTCTTGATCTCTCAAGAAATTCAAAACTGAAGCTCTTAAAGCCTGGTCTAACAAGCTTGGTTCAGAATGTGATGAATTTAAAAGAACTTTACCTCAATGAGGTGAACATATCTTGTACAGTATCTCACATTTTGGCTAATTTTTCATCTTTAACTTCTCTGCATTTCGAAAGTTGTCAATTACAAGGTGAATTTCCGGCAGACATTTTTAAGTTACCAAACCTACAGTTTCTTAGCGTGCATTACAATCCAGATCTCAACGGTTACTTGCCTGAATTTTCTAGGAGGAGTCTACTCAAGGAGTTGATACTGGCGAGAACAAACTTTTTTGGGGAGCTGCCAAATTCAATCGGATACCTTGAATCTTTGAATCATTTGGATATCTCATATCGCAATTTCTCAGGGTCAATGCTGTCTTCAATTAGTAATCTTTCACAACTCCTTCATTTGAAACTTTCTGGAAACAACTTCTCAGCAGGGTCAATGCCGCCTTGGATTGGTAATATTACACAACTTGAAAGATTGTACATGAGCTCTACTCAGCTAACTGGTCAAATCCCTTCTTGGCTCATGAATCTGACCCAATTAACGTTGCTAGACCTTTCATATAATATGTTACATGGTCCCATTCCAGAGTCGATATCAACTTGTAAGTCTACAAGTTCTTTCTATTGGTTTCAACAACCTTAGTGGAAGAGTGAAGCCAGACTTGTTTCTTACCTTGAAAAATCTTACTGCTCTTCAGCTGTCATATAACCAACTAACACTGCTCAGCGATAGCATTTACACCAATTCCATTCTTCCAAAGTTTAATAATCTCCAATTGGTGTCATGCAACTTAATTGAGTTTCCAGATTTCTTGAAAACTCAAGATGAGTTGCAGCAGTTAAACCTCAGCAACAACCGCATTCAAGGCCCCCTGCCTACATGGATATGGAACATGAGTACACAAACTCTGTCTACCCTTGACCTTTCTCAAAACTTTATAACTGGCTTTCATCAACCTCCTCCTTTAGCCCTTCCATGGGGCACACTGCGCATTTTAGACCTTAGTCTTAACAAGCTGCAAGGATCACTCCCCGTCCCACCATCATCCACCTTGGTTTATAATGTCGCAAACAACAAACTGACTGGGCAGATTCCACTACTAATCTGCAATGCAAGTTCTCTTGATGTCCTGGATTTATCTTATAACATCCTGAGTGGAATCATTCCCCAATGCTTGGCCAATTTTTCTGATCGTCTAACATTATTGAATCTTCGAAACAATAAGTTGGGCGGCCCCATTCCTCAAACATACAAGAATGGAACCCAACTAACGATGATCAATTTGAGTCAAAACCAATTGGTAGGGCCAGTGCCAAGATCATTGATCAATTGCTCACTTCTGGAGAGTCTTGATCTTGGGAACAATCAGATCAATGATATTTTTCCCTTTTGGCTAGGAACACTTTCAGAGTCGAAGATTCTGATTTTGCGATTCAATAGATTCCATGGTGCAATACGGAACCCTGACACAAGCTTTGCTTTTCCCAAGTTGCAGATTCTTGATGTCTCTCATAATGGTTTTACAAGTAAGTTACCTTCCGATTACTTCCAGACCTGGACAGCCATGAAAACTACTTATGTTAATCAATCGGCACACACTGGGAGAATTGAGTGAGTAGACGATCTTGTTAACAATTACAGTACTTACGCATTGTCACTGACAAACAAAGGTGTGCCAATAGTGTATTTGTTTATCCTAAATAGCTTCACTGCCATTAATCTCTCGGGTAACAGATTTGAAGGAGAGATTTCGGATTCTATAGGAATTCTTAAGTGTCGTCACATGCTCAACCTTTCCAACAACAATCTCATTGGTCAACTTCCATCTTCATTAGGGAATCTAACTGAGCTTGAATCGTTGGACCTTTCTCAAAACAAGTTCTCAAGAGAGATACCTTTGCAGCTAATTCAACTCAACTTCCTTGAAATCTTCGATGTCTCTCATAATCATCTCACAGGTTCTATTCCACAAGGAAGGCAATTTGATACATTTGAAAACAGTTCGTATAAAGGGAATTCAGGATTGTGTGAAAAGCCTTTGTCCAAGAAATGTGGAAATTTAGTAGCATCACCACCACCAACACTTTCAAAATTCAAGCAAGGTGATGATTCATGGGTTTCAATTGACAAAAGTGATTGGACTGTGATATGCATAGGGTATGGAGGTGGGTTGGCAGTTGGACTGATCATTGGGCACACTCTGACAGCAAGGTATCATGAATGGTTTGTCAACACTTTTGGAAGGAACCAAAAGAAGCGAGGAAGGAAGAAAAACAGCAAGCGAAGAAGCTAAATTTGACGAGTTCATCTTCTTCATTCATGGTGACATCAAGAAAATAATTTCAGATGTAGCATGGAGTTTCTGTTGGAAATAGTGGCCTAGTTACACACACAACACTATACTATTTGGAAGAGAATAGAAATGGAGGAAAATACTTTTTATTTCACTTCATAGAAAATGAGTACAATGCATGGGTTTATATAGGTTTCAAAACATAAATGTAAATGAAACTTAAAACCCCACTAACATATCATTTAGTAGGCAAAACTCCCACTAACCCACTAACATGACCATTTAGTAGGCAAAACTCCCACTAACCCACTAACATGACCATTTACTAGTTGTAACTCTCATGCCCCCCACTAACTCCAATAAAAAACTCACATAAATATAAAATACCAAATAAAATAAAGTTTAATTTCTAACACCCCCTCTTAAACTTGATTTTTTTTCAACTCCAAACAAACTCCTAAACTTGTGAAAATCTGCAAACTTGAGGGGCTTGGTGAAAATATCCGCAACTTGATCTTGTGACTTGATGAACTTGAGCTCCACCTCCTTCTTAGTTATACATTCTCTAATGAAATGAAATCTTGTATCAATATGCTTGCTTCGTTCATGAAACACCGGATTCTTGGCCAAAGCAATTGCTGATTTGTTGTCCACAAAAATCTCAGTTGACTCTTCTTGTAGCATGTGTAATTCCTTCAACAAATTCCTCAACCAAATTGCTTGACAAACACATGAAGTGGCTGCAACATATTCTGCTTCACAAGTTGAGAGGGTGACAATGGGTTGCTTCTTTGAACACCATGTAAAAGCAGTATTTCCCATGAAAAAACAATAGCCCGAAGTACTTTTTCTATCATCCAAATCTCCGGCCCAATCGCTATCACAATAACCCACAAGCTTGAAATCATTAGAAAATGAATAGAATAACCCAAAATCAAGGGTACCTTTGATGTAACGAAGAATCCTCTTAGCCGCCTTGAAATGAGTTATGGTGGGTCTTTCCATAAACCGACTAACAAGCCCAACCGCAATAACGGAGCCTTGTGCATGTTAAGTATCTCAAGCTTCCAACAAGACTTTTGAAAAATGTTGGATCCACCGTCTCTCCATCTTCATCTCTTGACAATTTAATTCCAACTTCCATGGGCGTGTTCACCAATTTACAATCTTCCATCTTGAATTTCTTAAGAATTTTCTTAGCATAGCCTTCTTGGTGAATGAAAATTCCATCCTTCATTTGCTTGACCTCAATGCCAAGATAATAAGCCATGATGCCAATATCTGTCATCTCGAACTCTCGAGCCATAACCTTCTTGAAATCTTCAAACATTTTTGGATTGCTACCTGTGAAGATTAAATCATCCATATACAAGCAAACAAAAAATACATCTCCATTCTCACTTACTTTGGAGTAAAGAGCATGTTCATATGGGCACTTTGAAAAATTATTGTCTTGAAAATATTTGTCAATTCGCTTATTACACGCTCTTGGTGCTTGCTTCAAGCCATATAAAGCCTTCTTCAATTTCAAGACTCTGTTTTCTTGCCCCTTTACAACATAGCCCATGGGTTGTTGAACATACACCTCTTCTTCAAGAAAGCCATTCAAGAAAGCCGATTTCACATCCATTTGGTGGATTCTCCAATTGTTCTGGGCTGCCAAAGAAATTAACAATCTAATTGTTTCCAAACGAGCTACGGGTGCAAATACCTCATCATAGTCAATTCCGGGCTTTTGGTTGTACCCCTTGGCGACCAATCTTGCTTTATATTTTTCAACTTCACCATTTGCATTATTCTTTGCTTTATACACCCATTTGACACCAATTGCCTTTTGCTCTTTTGGAAGTGTAGCAAGCTCCCATGTGTCATTCTTCTCTATGGATTTAATTTCTTCATCCATAGCATTTCTCCATTTTTTGTCTTGTGCCGCCTCTTCAAATCCTACGGGTTCACAATCCGCAAAGAGACAAAAAAGTGTTAGATCACCTAACCTTTCCGTTACCTCATCTGTTTCGTCATATATGTCACGAAGACTCCTCATGCGAAGTGGTGGTGTGTCACTTGAACTTGATGATGATGGAGTTGATTGATCTTGAATTGATGGCGGTGGAGGTGATGTTGGTGGAGAAATGGGCTGCTCCATGCCTTCATTTTCTTGCTCCTCATCAAAAATTGAAAAAATATTATAATCTTCATTTGGAGTGTTCCAATCCCATGTGGCTCCCTCTTCGAATTCAACATCTCTACTAATGACAATCTTCCCATTGCTTGGATTGTATAACTTGTAGCCTTTGGAATTTGCATCATAGCCAATGAACACCATTTTTTCACTTTTGTTGTCTAACTTGGTCCTCCTTTCATCCGGCACGTGCACATGGGCAATGCTCCCAAAAACCCGCAAATGAGAGACACTTGGCTTTCTTCCGCTCCATGTTTCTTGTGGTGTTTTGTTTTGCACACTTCTAGTAGGACACCGATTGGACAAGTACACCGCACAATCAACCGCTTCAGCCCAAAATTCTTTAGGCATTTCCTTATTTTTCAACATGCTTCGAGCCATATTGAGAATGGTTCTGTTCTTCCTTTCTACAACTCCATTTTGTTGGGGCGATCTCGGAACCGTTGAAGGATGGTGAATTCCATTTTCTTCACAAAATTTTTTGAAATTATTTGATGTGAATTCACCACCTCTATCAGATCGAAGAGCCTTTACATCATAGCCACTTTGTTTTTCAACAAGTGCTCTAAATTTTTAAAAAATTTCACACACCTCCGATTTTTGTTTAAGAAAATACACCCATGTTTTTCGGCTAAAATCATCAATGAATAATAAAAAATAATTATTCTTACCAAATGATGATGGAGAAATTGGACCACAAACATCCGAATGGATAAGTTGTAGTGGCGTCGTAGCTCTTGTGGTAGCTTCTTTAGGAAAACTTTTCCTTGATTGCTTTCCAACGAGACATCCTTCACATAATTGATTTGGATTGCCAATGAAAGGCAATCCCTTCACCATCTTCTTTTTGGCCAACAACTCTAATCCTCCAAAATTCAAGTGCCCAAGTCTCAAGTGCCAAAGCCAAGTTAAATCATTAACACAAGCCTTCAAACATTTAGCCTCGTCGGCTTGAATATTTAGCAAAAACATCCGGTTCTTTGTCATTGGAACCTTGGCAATCAAATTACCCAATGGGTCTCTTATCGAAAGACTACAATCCTTCAGGGAAATATTGTAGCCTTTTTCTAAGAGTTGTCCCAAACTCAAAATATTGTTCTTCATATTAGGCACATAATAAACATTAGAGATGAATTGATGATGCCCATTCCTCAAACGAATCAATATTTTACCTTTCCCTCTTACCGGAATTTGTGATAAGTCTCCAAATGTTACCTTGCCATTTATTGATTCATCAATATCAACAAACTTCTCTTTGCTACCACACATATGGTTGCTAGCACCGGTGTCAAGATACCACACATCTTCTTGATCACTCCTTTCACATTTATATGCTAACAACAAAGTAGGCTCCACTTCTTCATCAACATAATTCGCCTTTTCTTCAACATCATTAGCAACATTTCTACATTCCGAAGCATAATGACCATACTTTTGACAATTATAACATTGAATTTGAGACTTATCATACCTCCTTCCATATGACCTTGAGTAATTTCCTCTACCACGACCTCTTATTTGTTGTGAGTCATGGATTTTTTCTTCATTGTTGGTTGTGTGTTGACCGCTTCTTTCTCCTCTTCCTCGGCCACGTGCATTTCTACGTCCTCGGCCCCTTTGATTTCCTCCATGTTTTTCGTCTCTTTCGTTCAACGAAAACTTTGTTTGTAGCACTTGCTCCAATGCTTCTTGTTTCTTCACCACCTTTTCTTCATGAGCTTGCAACGAACCCATGAGTTGATCAACAATCATGGAATCCAAATCCTTTGACTCTTCAATGGCTACAACAATGTAGTTGAATTTGGAATCCAACGACCGAAGGATCTTTTCAACGACCCTTGTATCAGTCATGGTGGTTTCGCCATATCTCCTTAGTTGATTTACAATAGCCAGGACCCTCGAAAAATAATCTGAAATTGATTTAGATTCCTTCATATGCAATGCTTCAAATTCACCCCGTAACGTTTGGAGGCGAACCTTCTTCACTTTATCAACTCCTTGGAAGGAATTTTGAAGAATCTCCCATAGTTGCTTTGCATTTTCTGCACTAGCAACTCTTTATAGCATTCCATCATCCAAACATTGATGGATGGTCATCACCGCCTTTTGGTCCTTCTTTCTTATAGCTTGTAAAACATCTTTTTCGGCTTGAGACAAAGTTGCCTCATCTTCTGGCTCATCATAACCTTTGGAAACAACTTCCCACACATCTTGTGCTCCCAATATTGCCTTCATACGGATACACCAATTTTCATAGTTATCTTTGGTGAATCGAGGCATTTGAAATGGAACCGAATTGTTTGCCATTTCTTCTCTCTCTCACAAACTAGCTCTGATACCACTTTGTTGGAAATAGTGGCCTAGTTACACACACAACACTATACTATTTGGAAGTGAAATAAAAAGTATTTTCCTCCATTTCTATTCTCTTCCAAATAGTATAGTGTTGTGTGTGTAACTAGGCCACTATTTCCAACAGTTTCCACCAGCTATCAAGTCTAGGTATGTCTCCAGTTTATGTGTTGTTTCGTTGTGTTTCTTCTTCAATTGTTTGCATGTGTAGTCTGTCCCACTTGGACACATTCAAACAAAAATTATGTTACTTTCGACTGTTTTTATTTTTCAAGATGATGTTGCAAAAGGTAGTGTTTTTATATGTATGACATTTTGGCATAAACTCTTACACGGTTGGGCTTGTATAATAATATAGTAAAGAGTAAATATGTATTAAGAGGATTAATTTTTTTTTTTATTATAATATTAAAGTTAGTCTTTTGATTGTGCTATATACTACTAGTTTTTCTTCTCTTTTTATAGTCGACGATGTTAGTTTCCAAGGGCGGAGGCTCAGAGCCAGAATTTTTTATTTGGGCAAAACCTATTTAGTATCGTGAAGTTTAAATTCG